CTTCCTTTGTACAGAAGATTGGTTGTATTTCATCAATTTGAAGAAATTTGTTTGAATTAGGATTGCAAACGAGTCGAGTCGAGTCGAGTTTTGAGCTAATCGAGCCGAGTCTCGACTGAATTTTACCAAACTCGAGCTCGAGCTTGAGCTCGACGAGCCGGCAATTTCAAGTTCGAGCTCGACTCGAATCAAGTCGAGTCGAGCTCGAGTTCGAGCTCGAAAAAAATAAAAAATAATTATTTTATTTTTTAAAAAATAAATAAAATAATATTTTTTCTTAATAAATAATAAAATATTAAGGATATATACGTAATTTTACTATGAAAATAAAAAATAAAAATAAAAATATATAATATACGTAATTTTATTATTAAATAAAAATTAAAAAATATATATATACACTCAACTTGCGAGCCGGCTCGCGAGTTAACGAACTTAATATTCTGAACTCGAGTTCGAGCTCGAGTTTGACTCGACCGACTCGAGCTCGACTCGAGCTTGACTCAAGCCGCTCGCGAATGGCTCGCGAGCGGTTCGATTCGTTTGCAACTCTAGTTTGAATTGATCTACAAGTTCAAGAGGAGTTTGGTAGTCAATTGATTTGCAATTCTTCCCTTCTTATTTATTTATTGTTATCTTGTGATCTTTAAATTACTTATATCTTCTATTTCTCTCAAGTGATATTGTTCATTCATTGATTGATTCACTGTGCGATCACTTAGAAAAGAGGATAAATTTCATATTAAGCAAAAAGTGTCCATAACTTGATTAGTTTTATAATCAACCTAATTCACCCCCCTCTTAGGTTGTTTTCGATCCTTACAGGTTTTAATACCTACATACTAATATGGAGCAGGAGTTGGGTAAGAAGGTGACAATGGGAGTAGGGAAGAACGGAGGAAAAGGAGGGGTGGCGGTGGGAAAAGGATGGCAATGGTGGTTCGAACTTGGAAGGATGAAGGGGAGAGGTAGAGGGAGGGGTAGATGTGGTATGGGTAGAGGAGGGCAAGTGAAGGAACACTCCAAAATATCAACTCAAAAAATACCTAAAAAATACATATCCTAATAGTTTTTAAAAAAAATTTCTTCATTAAAGTTTAATAAAAAATATCATAAAAAACACTCTATCCAAACAAACCTTGATAAATATATACTTTACCAAAATACAAACAGAGCATAATAAAAACCTAAAAATATGAAAACATGCCATAAGTGCAACTAACACTAAATAAAAGCCATGGAAAGTTGAAAAAAAATCTTGCAATAAAAAAAGAGGAAGAAGACAACTATAATATAGTAAACTACAAAACAAATAGTGTGCTCAAAAAAATAATATGCATAACTAACATCTATTAAAGAAACAAGCCATCAAAAATAATTAATACACACAAAAAAACCAAGGGCAAAAAAGGAAGGAAGTGGAGCAGGAGTTGGGTAAGGAGATGACAATGGGAGTAAGGAAGGGTAGAGGAAAATGAGGGGTAGCGGTGGGAAAAGGGTGGCAATGGTGGTTGGAACTTGGAAGGATAACGAAGAGAGGTAGAAGGAGGGGTAGATGTGGTAGGGGTGGAGGAGGGCGGGTGAAGGAATACTCCAAAATATCAACTCAAAAATACCTAAAAAATACATATCCTAATAATTTTTTAAAAAATTTTCTTCATTAAAGTTTAATTAAAAAATACCATAAAAACCATTCAATTGAAAGAGACATTGATAAATATATACTCTACCAAAATACAAACAGAGCATAATAAAAACCTAAAAATATGAAAACATGCCATAAGTGCAACTAACACTAAATAAAAGCCATGGAAAGTTTTAAAAAAATCTTGCAATAAAAAAAAAGAGAGAAAGAAGACAACTATAGTAAACTACAAAACAAACAGTGTGCTCAAAAAATAATACGCATAACTAACATCCATTAAAGAAACAAGCCGTCAAAAATAATTAATACACATAAAAAAAAGCCAAGGGCAAAAAAAGAAAGAGGAACAAATCCAGCTAAGTAGCAGCAATAAAAAAATAGAAAGCAAAATAGAAAGTGACAAATGATAAAATTTAACTACATGTTAACCATAAATTAAATTAGGAAATAGATTGCTAAAGATGTAGTACTGATAGCTTTTAAAACATAGCTTCCCATTTAATAGGTTAGAACCTCGAGTGGAGAAGAAAATAAAAGTCAAATCAAAGTTAAATTAAATAAATCAAAGTCTATATTAAAAAAATCTAGTCATTGATCTTAATATTAAAGGCTGAGACAAAACTAACATCCAAGACAAACTCGGCAGAGGTCATATTGTTGATTTGATTTTTATTAGCCTAATAGAATAAGCATTTAATACAGAAGAACTAAATCTCAATGGTCATCCATATCTCTACACTAAGAGGATACAAAATAGGATAAATAACCACAAATCAATGAAAAAGGGTGATAAAATAAACCAATATAGAATTCAAACTGCCTAACAATTTATTCCTTTTTGTTTCATTAAAAAAATCTATTGCTTTTCTTTTTGGGATGTCCATAAATATTTGCCATCCTACCAAGGTCAAAATTATTTTTATCTCATTTTTTAATATTATCCTTACTTTTACCTTTGTTCCATGCTACATTGAATTTTGAATTTTTAGAGTGCAAATTTGGAAGCAAAAACACTAATATCATAATCAAGTCATTATTCTTAAAAGTTAGAATCTCAAAATATGAGAAATTTGTAATGAAGAGAGTATTAATTTATAGACCATGACTAAAACCAACATTTTAATAAACAATTATATCTTCAAAAGATCCTTAAATAAACACTTAAACTGTCAGAAAGCTACTCTTCCAATCACTTGAAAGTATAGAGATTCTATAAAGCTCCCCTTTTATAGAGATTCTATAAAACTCTTGAAAGTATGTTGGTAAAAAAGAATGAAAGTAGTATTTGCCAATTAGGACTATTACAAAAAGGGTTAATCACAAAAATTTCTCTTAAAGTTTAGCCAATTTTGCACTTCACCCCTTAATGTTAATTTTTCTTCACTTTATCTATTAAATCATTAGTCAACTCTAATTTTGTATAATAGGTATGCTAAAAAGATATTTACACCCTTAAAGGTTAATTCCAATAAGTTTCCTAAAGGTGTAATGCATTTTGCCCTTTTCCCTCTAATTGCATTTTTCTCTTAATTTGTCTATTTGTCCCTAAAACCACTCAAGACATATAACATTTAACAATATTAATATCCCTAACATAATAATTGATACAAGTCCTAAGAGCTACCTGTGCCTTACTTTAAGATCCGCTCATGGTTCGATGGGATCCAATGAATAGAGTTAAAAACAAGTGCAAGACTTGAGTAGCGACCATAGGGACCGTGGCTTAAGACCCAGTTAAGAGTCACGGATTGGTTATGTTTTATGTTTTTTGATTTTTTGGTTCATGTTCAATGAGTCATTAGTTAGTGAACTACACGGCTAGATCATATGGGCCAATGTTGAAGCAGCATTAGAGTTAGTTCTTGTTTAGCCAAATTAGGTTTACTTTAGTTAAGTCTTAGTTCTGAGTCTTATAAGTTTATAAAAGGCATCACTTTCGTCCAATTATGAAAAAAGAAGACGATTTATGAAAGTAAATTGAGACTTCATCTTTTTTTTATTCCTTTGTGAACGCCCTTGATACAAAGTGAGTCGTGTTTCCTTTGTTTAAGTTTTGACATATCAATTTAAGATCGCGTTGAATTGTGTCGCCTTTTGTCCTTCTAAATAATTTCGAGCTATCCTTGATTGGTTTATAATCCATCTTTGTATCCATAACTTGATCAAAATAGATTCTTCCGCTACCCAGTCGAATCGTTTCTTCAAGAGCAGGAGTTTGGAGATTTGAACCAATATCAATAATGAAAATTATTGTCTATTTATAAATATAGATCTTGTTAAATTTTATCTTCATAATACATATTTTTAGATAGAGGAAAATATCCCACTCATTTTACACAATAAGGGAAAAATAAAAATTATTAGTGAAAAAAAAACTATAAAAATAGTATTAAAGATTTATAGATTGTCCTTGTTTGGATTGAAGATAATTTGTAAAATTTTTAAAAATAATATTATAATACTTTTTGTCATTTGATATTTGTGAAATAAAAATGTGATTAAAAAAATAAAAAGATGATTGAGAAGCTTGCTTATGATACAACAAAAAAATTTTAGTAAAATTTGTAATCGAAAAAACTTTTAGTAGCATCTAATCATACTATATTAAAAAAAGACCCCAAAAACTTTTTTATCCAAATCAACCATGTTTCTCTCTTTTTTAAAAGTATTACCAATAAAAAAAATGTATACTTGAATATAAAGAAACTGTCTAGCTATTAAAAAAATGCAATCATATGCACATCTATAAAGAGAAACTGACAATATTCGAGCATTTTTAGACTTTTAATAATAATTTCAATTATTATTTTTCAATAACAATTCTTGTTATTTTATCCTATTATTATGTGAAATTAGCAAGATATTTCTCTCAATCTAAAAAATATTATAATTATGGGATTAAATTTAATTAGGACCATATCTATAAATATAATTATTTTTTCATTACTATGTTAGGGATATTGATTTTTTAGACATTATTTATCTTGGATGTTATAAAATATTGGAGTTGACATTATTTGTCTTAATTGTTATAAAATATTGCAGTTGACTAATGTTTTTAATGACAAACAAACAAATTGGTAAAAATGATGTTAGGGGATAAAGTACAACAGAGAATTAGTGGACTTAGCTATTAAGGGTATAAATATCTTTTCAACGTTACTATTATACAACGTTAGAGTCAACTAACAATTTAGGAGATAAAGTGAGAAAAATACCATTGGGGAGCAAAGTGCAAAAATATATATACCTTAGGGGGCGTTTTTTAATTAACTCTTACAAAAATACAAAAAAAAAAAAAAAAAAATTTTGTCAATCCCTTACAAAAATAAATTGTCCTGCACAAAAGTCGAAGGACAAATTACCAAATATGCCATTTGTCCAAATTAACAACGCCTGAAGGCTAGTAGTCGTTTTTAGCCAAGCACATTTCATTTGTCGAAGCCGCACAAGGGTTTTTCCTTCCTCTGTTTCCTCCTCAGGGTTTTCAGGTATCTTCCATACAAACAAGACAAACGTTAACCAAAACATGGATTTTCTGGCAAGATTTTGTAATTTATTCTAGTGTAGCATGAGTTTATTTTCATGTCCTCTTTCGGTTTCAAAAATTTTAGTGAATTTTAAGTTTCAACAGCCTTTTTCCTTGTGGAGTTTGAAAAAAGTTGCTACTTTATTGTTTCAGTAGATCTAGCAATTTTTCTAATACTGATGTCTATTCTGATTAATCAGACACTCCTTTTGGATTCTATGTATGTTAGGGTTTGATTGGCAAAACCCAGCCCCCTTTTTTGGGGATGTCTGTTTATTATTATATTTTAAAATTTTTGAAGCGCGATATGCAATTGCCATTATTGTAGATTTTGATACTATAGCTAATTTTCTTGAATGGCTTCTTGATTTTCCAGTGTTTTGAAATTCTTCTTCCATGTCTCTCTCTCTCTCTCTGTTTTTTTTTGGTTAAATTTGCAGGCTATTGAAGATGTCAAGGGTGTACGTTGGGAATTTGGATCCGCGAGTCACTGAGCGGGAACTTGAAGATGAATTCCGTGTCTTTGGAGTTATAAGAAGGTAAATAATGTACGAAGTGCAATTTATATGTTTTGGCGCTATTTATGTGGTCGGTTTTGCATAAGTATTTGACCAGGAATTTTTTTTGATTGCCAATTTTTTGGCTTATGTACTTATCTGAACTTTGGGGTGATGGACTCTTGGTAAAATCTCCTTCCTTTTTTTTTTGTTTTGGTTCATCGGAGACTAGGCCTTTACAAGGGGAGTGGAGTGGGTGGAATTTCCCCTTCCTTTGGTTTTCTTGTTTGATAATGTTATACCCAAAGGAAATTCGGGAGGAAATACATTTGTAACAGCTGCTAAAACCTTTAGCTAAGGTTTTGTAGATACTTTTTTTTTGGGTTGGGAGGTTTTTAAATGCTTGGACTTTATTTTCATTGGTGATTGCGCATGCTAATATATTGAACAACATATGTGCCAGCACATGATCAGATACAAGTCCTTAGAACATATACCAGATAGCATAGTTTCCATGTTCAATTTCTTCTGGCTGGGATTTTGAAGTTAAATATGTGTTGTTTGTCCACCTCTATTGCAAATATGCTGTGGTTGCTTCACTTGATTATTTTAATCATCTTGGGATGTGAAGATAGATGGGGATAAGACAAATGTCTTCGGTGACCGTGTAGATAAACCTGTTTCCCGAGCGATATAGTATAGAATGCATAGGGAACAAGATACTAAGGTAGAGTGTGGTAATTATTGAAAGAAATGTGAATCACACAATTTCTTTTTGAAGTAGCACTCATTGAAGCATGTATTTGAAATGTCAACAGCAGCTACACCATATTTAGACTGGAATGCTTTTCAATCTGGAGATAGAATATGAGCACATGATGTGTGTTACAAATTTAACTGGTGTCTTGGTTTGAGTGGGATCATCACATTTGCTTGAAAAGATTTAAAATTTGTGCACTGAAATTTTGGGGCTTATGTTTGTTCCTCATGGTCTATCTTTTAGTCACGTTTAAATGTTGTACTAATTTATGTTGTTCATCAAATTTTAAATGCAGTGTTTGGGTTGCAAGAAGGCCCCCTGGCTATGCATTTATAGATTTTGATGACAGGAGAGATGCACAAGATGCAATTCGTGAACTAGATGGTATGCCTTTTAATCTTCTACGGTGGACCCATTTTCCTTGTTACTTTTGCAATAAGGTCGTCAGTATAATTTTCTGGTTTCTCTAATTGGACCTGATGACGTATTTTCAAACTTTCAGTTTCTCGTCAGGAGCTATGTCTACATTGGTCAAAGCAAATATGAAATATTCTCTTCATGTATAGTTTTTATGTTGCAGTTTCTATTATGATTAAAAGTTCTGTGGCCTTGTTTTACTAGGTAAGAATGGATGGAGAGTTGAACTTTCTCATAATTCTAGAGGTGGAGGAGGTGGTGGACGTGGAGGGGGTCGTGGTCGGTCTGGGGGTTCTGACTTGAAGTGTTACGAGTGTGGTGAGCCTGGTCATTTTGCTCGTGAGTGCCGGCTTCGTGGAGGATCAGGAAGGCGTCGCAGCCGCAGCCCTCCTCCCAGATATCGGAGGAGCCCTAGTTATGGGCGAAGGTGAGATATTGATATGAATTTGTATTAGTACATTTTGTAACATGTGCAGTAGATATGAATGCCGATTTATCTATTTTGTAAAACATGCAGTAGATACATGTACTATGTCTTGCTTGGTGTCTTGTATGTGCTTGAGGCCCTTTATGTGCTTTGCTTGAAGAAATATAAGCTGACAGATCAATTATATTTTAGTAGCATCTTGAGAAAAGAGGAAAAGCTAGGGAAACAATGCAGTGGTTGCAAGACATGGGGTTCATCTGCATGCATGATTGACTTCATCTTCTTCTCTTGCTATTATTTCTAATGCTTTTTGAGGGTTCAAGCAGGAGTTACAGTCCTCGTGCGCGATCCCCTAGGCGCCGCAGTTTGTCTCCTCGTGGTCGCAGCTACAGCAGGTCACCTTATCGTGGGCGAGATGAGGTGCCTTATGCTAATGGGTAAAGTTCTCTCCATAGCTTGCAATCTGTTTCTTTTGGGTTCCTAGTATTTAATATACTTATTGCTTCATTAGGCTTGTATTTGATGTGTGGAGTTTGTCTGAATAAAAGTATAATTAGAAGGTAAATGTAGGAGAGGATATTTATTGCCAAGTGGGGAGGAAATAAGATAGCAAGTTCTATTATCATCATGAATTTAGATGTTTCTAGTTCATTCATTGGTTGTTACACATCACTTGTAATCTCTATTTTCATGAATAAATATGCTCTCATACTGATGATGTTATGTTCCAATGTGGAGCCATATATTAATATGATGTTGAAAGTCTGGGGATCTGATTGCATGAATATTCAGAAAACCCCAGCAATAATTAGCTTGAAGATAGTGTCACATCTTTAGGATGCTTCTTAATTTCAGGCTATGATGAATAGATCAGAACAGTGGGTATTATTACATCGTTCTCACTTCTTGCTATTCCTATTGTGCAGAAATGGTCTCAGAGATCGTCGCAGAAGCAGGAGCTGAGTGTAGAAAATTCTGTATTTGACTCAATCCGGAAGTTTTTGCAATAGTGTGTTTAATATGCATGGAATTAGTTACAACTCTGTAATCGGGGTGACGTCCTCGGCTTCAACTCGTGGATTTGGTTAAGTTTCTTTCGTACTTCAGTATCAAGTTGGTTAGTTTTCCTTCCCTTAATCCTTCTCTGGCTTTTGCCTTAGAACAAATAGATCTAGTATCTTAGTGGCATTTGGATTCTATGTTTGCTGATATAGTTTGTGAAAAGTAAAGAGTTCAAGTGAACGCTGCTAAAAATTTATGCTTTTTGTTTCTGTATCGAGGTGTCTACGTGGTTCTGCTTCATTGGTTTTCTGCTTCTACACTCCCTGTTGGTTTCCTTCTTCACTGCCCTGCGGTGGGATCTCCAATTTGAATGATTGTGGATCCCAACTGGCTGCGTTGCTAGATGCTTCTGTTTCATTGATTCTGCGGCTATGACGCCTCACCTCACTTGTAGTGGTAGATCTTTATATTCTTTTATGACAAGCGGCATCAAATACTTTTGGCAGGTAATCTGTTCAAGAAAAGATGGGGTCTTTTTTCTGAACTAATATTAAAATATTATCTTAATTGGGTTTATAGGCTTTTCGAGTAACACCTAAGTTTGAATCATGAAATATGATATCCATGTAGAAAACAGCCCCCTTTAGCTAACTAAATAGAGCCTGAACTAGTTCTCTTTTTACCTGCTAATTTTTTTTTGAAATTCATTTTTTTTTTGGGGTTCTGCAGCTGTCTAGCTAGTTTGTTATCCTAACTAACTGCAGGAAAAAATTAGCTTGTTTACTTGTTACTGCAAGCTTTCACTTTTTTGTGATAAGATCAGATTACCCTCCTTGACCCCCCTTCAGCCAAACTTTGAGCACCTAAATCTTTTGATGAGAAGGCCTTTCTTGAAATGGTCATGTTATTGTTTAAGTTAAACATTGGAGTTTACTTGAAACTGTCTTCTGGACACTGGTCCAAATATGTCATCCAAGAATTATTGGATTTTCCTTCAAAATTATCATGCTTTGTATTAGTAGTTGTGGTGGATGAATTTTTCTATAAAGGTATTGTTGAACTTCTAAGAAAGGGGCATAGATATAGAGGACCAGCGCTTTTGTCGGGTTGTTTGAGATGATTTGCTCGACTCTGCCGAGATCTCAGTGTCTTGATTGAGGTTGTCGCTTCGATAGGACCATCTGTGGTTGATCATCTGTCATTCATCCAGCTTTTTATTTTACGGTTGGCATCCAACTTCGGTTTTGTAACTCAAATTGTTGCTGTAGGCATTGTAATCTTCTCTTCCAGTTTCTGAAAGCTCAAGCCATCAAGAATAACTTTACCAGCTTCTTGCGTTACATTTGCTGTAGATGTTTTGGCTAAGAGATTTCCTTGTCTTGGAAGCAGTTTCTGATTCTTTGTGCTCTGAATGATTTGTGCTGTTCAGTTTTTAATTCTCACCTGAATGAACAATGACTACACATTAAGAGTTCAGAATTAGGATTGATTTTGGGGAAGATGACCAACATTTACTAGATAGGGTAGTGGTGCACAGTTTTGCACATTGGTACATTAAAGTTGTTTAAATTGCGTGGTAAATCACGCAAATAATTTATATTCTAGTTAACCAAGTCGTGTATATATCTATGTTTTGGAACTTGGATCAGGTAATGATTCAGTGGAAACACTAAACTCAGGCATCGCGGTCAATGGGTTTGATTGGTTGGGTTGGGAGTGAAATAGGATGACATCATAAATAGATATAAATATATATTAATGATATGTAATCAAAATGATGTATAAAAATTCCTCTTAGATTGGTGGTACAACTCTGTATACATGTTAGATGAGTTTAGATTGAGTCCAAAAGGGCTCTACTTGAAAATTTTTTAAAGTTATAACTAAAAATAAAATTTAGAAAATATAATAGGCTAATTTTGCACTTTGTTAAAATAATAAGGATCAAAATAAAATTATGAAAAGTTTTAGGATACTCTAGGCAAATAAATGCTAAGCCTAGTCCGTGCTCCTTGTTTCTTATTATGCAGCCGTCAATTCCTTTATTTTTTTTCCTCTTTTCTTCGTTTCTTCTTCTTTGTTGTTTCTTATTTGTTTCTCCTCGTTTTTTCAAGGGAAAATTTCAGAAATCTCCCTTGAGATTTTTAATTATTTCACTGGCCTCCTTGGTTTTAAAAATGATGCTGCTAACTTCCTTGAAGTTTATTAACTTGTAAAATTTAGGTCCAATTAACAATTAAAAAGTAGAGAGAAATAAATATGATTTTATAATTGTTCCTCATCTATTAAATTGTTTAATTAATCTAATATATTTCTAAACAATAAAGAAAAGATTAGAATTTGTTGTTTATTATAAAGGATTAAATTATATAAGACATCAAAAATAGTATATCATTCTATATATTTTATTTAATGTAAGATTTAAATTGCTTTTTTTAGTTACAAATTTGTTATCAAATATGATCAACAACAAATAATCAGAAAATTTGTAATCAAAATATTATAAAGAGTGAATTTTAATATCAGAAAATCTCTAGCATTTACGTTAACATGTTGACAAGAATATTTATGATATTAATTTTGTTCTTGTAATATTTTAGTTGCAAATTTTTTATTATTTGTTGTTGATTATGGTTAATAATGGGTATATAATGAAAAGAGTAATTTGAATCTTGTATTAAGTAAAAAATATAAAATGATATACTATTTTTTGATATTATATGTGATTTACTCTCTGATGTTAAATAATAAATTTTAGTGATTTTTTAATGTGTAAGCTGGTATTAAATTAATTAAATACTGTAGTAGATGAGGGGTGAATGATAAAATCATATTTTTTCTCTCTCCTAATATTACTTTTTGATTATTGATTGGGTGTAAATGTTACAAAATAATTAAGTTCAAGGGAGGTTAGTGTAATTTTTGAAATATGGAGGGAGGCCAGTGAAATAATAAAAAATCTTAGGGAAGGTTTCTAAAATTATCCCTTTTTTAATCACACACAAGCTAGACTTTGTAAGTTGAACCCGCTTCTACTTAACTTCTATTCTGGAATCTTTTGTCTTCATTATTTTTTGTTTCCCTCTCTTTTCTTTTTCCTTCTTTGCTCCTTTTTCTTTTCCTCCTATTTGATTATAAATCTTTCAAGAACTTAGTTGCGTGAAATTGGGCTTAGGGAATTTAAAGAACGAATTTTTTTTTTGATTCATTCTTCTGCAGATCCGGCTGCGTAACATTGATTCTGATCAGATCTGTTCTTAACGCTAGTCAAAGATGGAAGAAAGAAAGGGTCACCAGAATAAGAAAAATGTACAAACCAGGTTCTAATCGAATTTACCAGTTTCTGGTCAAATCAATTTTTGATCGAGTTTTTAAGAGGCAATTTTTTAGGAAGGTTCGGACTGGATGTCTGGTTGGTATTCAGTTCAATTGATTGGTCGGGTCCGAATTTAAAAAATATGTGTATGTTAGCAAAGAAAAATGTGTCTGTCATGTCTCTTTTGGGAATAAATAGTTTAATCGTTTGAGGAGTGTGAAATTTTGTGTTCTAGCTCGGTCATATTCTCCAGATATAATCTGGGAATTTAGGTTGGTCAAGCAGCTGGGTGAGACATTATTTGTTTACCTGTATATGTTTTGCCAAGTGTACGTCAAAGCAATCAAATTGGTACTCTTGGATTTTGCAATTACAGAAGCTACATTTTCCTATTTGTGACCTTTTATAACTTGGGTTAAATGTCATGGACTCTTACATTGAATGTAGCTATGATGGTACGTATTAAACAACTGTGCCATGGTTGCCTGGGACGGAGTGTGCGAGCTTGCAAACTTCTGTAGTTTGGAATCGATTTTTGGCGTAGAATTATGTAATGGGAATAGAATTTTTGCCCTTGGAAGTTTTTGCTACTTCTCATACCCCCCAAAAAAAAAAAAGATAATCTTTGTCGTCTCCAATAAAAAAAATTAAAAAAGGTCCAACATGTGTGAGTTTTCCTCAGGGATAATCTTTTTTTTTTTAGGTTGTGAAATAATGAATCAATTAACAATTTATTGGGCCTAAGTATTTTTATATAAGTCGTATGAAGAAAAAAGTGAGAAGAATTGTATAATTGCGTATTGCAGAACATTACCAAACTTGTACAGAGAGAGAGAGAGGAATTACATAATCGCATGATTAGTTTCAAGGTTTCTTGGTATTGCATAACTTACTACAGTCTCCTTAAGCTCCCCTTTTCTCCTAGATTAGGATAGAGTAGGTTATACAAATGTATTTGCTGACAAACAAAAAAGAATAAAATTTGATGAAGTGTTTTGTCTTATTGCACTAATAGTATACCAATTGGTGGAATATAATGTAAATAGATAAAATGGAAAAAAAATAATGATGTTTTAGGACAATAATGGGCACAAATCTGCACTGGGACGTTTCTTCCTCTTGAGCAAGACTTAATGAAAGGAAGGGCATCAGGCCCCCCTTATGGCTTCACCTACTATTTGTTTAAGATGAGCTGCCAATTCTATAACAATTCAGACAATTCAGAACTTTACCATATTTTCAAGCTTTTTGAAAAGAAATATTAGGGACCCAAATTAGCAATTTTCCCGTCAACAATTTGATTGTAAGCATTTTATGCTTGTAGATCTAGTTCACTGGTCTTTGATCAGACCTAATAACAAAAAATTAGCTTGCTATAAATGTTTTAGAAAACAAAGTATTTGGGACATAAAGATCCCTAAAGTATGCCAATGTTGCTAATTAATCTCAGAAGGCTAAAGGATCCTAATTAGATTGTAAGTTTGTAACAATAATTTTTGAAAACTAGGCAGGACTCGAATTAGTTGAGTGATTGAAACTTGACGATGACAATGCCTTTGATTCTCATACTTACTAAAAAGACAAAAGAAATTCTAATAGTATAGAGATATCAATAAGCCAGTTACAAAATTAAAAGGGATTTGGGATTTCAAGAAATATTGCACCGTACAAGGTGTGCATTAACTCAACAAATTGAGCCAACGGCTTGTTGAATTGTTCGTCATCACAAAGGCCTTAAATACTTTTATGGGTGGGAGGTCAAAACTTTGAACTTTATCTCTTATCAATTACTACTTAATATGTGACTTCTTTTAAATTCAATGATGTTTAATGCATTCATTTGATTCAATGGTGGTCAGTCTCCATCAGTTCTTATGATTCTTTTGGATCTGTCCCTTCTCTTGTAGCCAATGTATGACTAAAAAACTAACAATAATAATAACACAACAAATTTAGGCACTATGACATTAAGCGTTGATACTAAGATAATGACATGTAAAAGTATAACAAAATTTGTCACTCATAAATAATTGTGTTTCTTAATCAATTCCATTTAACAAATTTCATATCATTCCCATTTGATCCATCAATTTTACGGTGCAATTGCAAAGCATCCTGGCCGCAAAGTTTGTGCTAGCTGTGTAGGAATCCCAGTACGTTATCTTTATGATGTGGACCACTTTTAGAAATTGGTCATTCGTTAACAGAAGTATCATGCCAAATTTGATCCAGTAACCGATTGCGAGATTCTTCAAACTTCTTAAAAATTTAAAATGGTAGCGGAAAGTTTAACATTTTTTAATGCAGGACTGCTTACAATTTCTCCCACCTTGCTGACCAATCCAACCTCCCTTAAACTTTAATAGAATTTTTTTTTGGGAGAATATCGAGAAACAAAAAGAGAACTATTTCTACCACTAGATATTTTAAAGTCTTTCTCAAAATCAAATTTTAAGTCTCATCAAGTAAGATTTCGAGAGCCCAAAGAAAAACTCAACGAAAAGGAAAGAATCTATCACTCTATGCCAAAATATAATAAAGGGTAAAAAGTTCCAGTGGCCCTCAAACTATTAGTTGGATGAACTTTTGATCCCCAAACAATTAAAAGTGAATTTTTGGCTCCCGATCTATCCAAAGTACAAAATGTTAGACCTTCTGTCAAATTTAGCAGTTAATACCAACGGAAACTACAATCACGTGAGACGCACGTTGAAATACGAAGGGTATTTTTGTCCACAACAAGCTGTGTTTCAATCGGTAAAATGGGACTTCTTCGTGAACAGAGTTGAACAAAGAAAAACTCCGTTGCAGCGGGAAATTCATGCGGTTTTGTGAATCATATCGGAAGAAAAGAGTAAAATAGAAAATCCGAAAGGATTAGTAAGCTTGCAGAACTAGCCTCTTACTGAGCCTCTTGATTTCTCTATCCATTTGACCAGTAAGTATCAATCTAAACATCTTGAAATCACACAAAAAGGACCAAAAGTGATGCCCAAAAGTTGCAGGAACATTTCCTTCCACAAAAGAATGGCTATACCATGCCAAGTCATATCCCAACAAGGGCACAAGGATCACAAACCACCAGTTGAAAAGCATTGAATATATCAAGCAAATAATGCTACAAAGCGTGCCCATGATTCATGTAAAATAGCCAAAACTCCTCCACGCTTCGGAAATTCATACCTCAAATGCAGTCAGAGATCGGCCCGGATCAAAACTGTGGGGAAAAAGGGATCGATCTTTCCGATGGAAGAGATGGAAAGAAGCCCACAACAGGCCCAAATCAGATAGTATATTTCATTGTAGT